GATGTTCTCTCTCTCTCTCTCTCTCTCTCTCTCTCTCTCTCTCTCTCTCTCTCTCTCTCTCTCTCTCTCTCTCTCTCTCCCTGTGTTTGTGTGTGTGTGTCTTGTGTCGGTTGTGCCCTTTCTCAGTCGCCAAGGTGTTGTATGACTTGGAGTGTCCTGATGGGCTTGTGTGTTGACAGTTTTTCTGTCCCAAGTGAAATTCTTAGGTTAGGTGGTATTGAGATTTTTCTGACAACATCTAATGATCTGCCCGTTCTTTTTTTTTTTTTTTTAACACGCGACGAGCCTGCTAGGAGTAGTGATAAGAGCACCCACCCCTAGCAACTCAGCTTCTGACTCCAATCTATTGGTGGGGAGTTACTGTAACACCTGGTGGAAAAGAGGTCCAGCATATCTGATACAGAGACATTGTTGAGAACAAGCATAATGTATTAATGTGTGTGAACTGTGGCCAGCCTCGTCAGTAGGATCAGGACCGCCAGATAACTAAGAACACATACTAGCTGACCAACCTTTTTTTTTTTTTTTTTTTTTTACTAGCTGACCAACTTCCTGGCTAGAACGGAGATAATTGATGCAGAGAGACGGTTAACAGGGGCCCAAATATTCGCCTTTTTCGTTGGCAATTGCGGTGCGAATTTCATCAAAAAAAATTAAAACAAACGATATGAGACCATAGTGCAAACATAAAAAAAAGGAAACATCCCAAAAAGAAAGGAAAAAAAAACAAAAAAACGCTATGAAACCCTAACAGAAAGACACTGTCCGAGTCAAAATGAAGCATCCAAGGAATTCAACAAAATGCCAACTTTTTCATTATTGATCCAAACATGTAAAAACTGCACACATGACGTACCCTAAAACACATATATATCACACAAAAAGAAAAAGAAGAAAAAAAGCAAAAAATCAGCACAATATGACAGTTTCAGTGCAATTCGGTGCAAAATTCATCCAAAGTAACACCCCTGGTTAACCACATGTGCCCGAGTTTTGTTGCAAAAATACGTATTTTGTTCCAGCTGTACAGGTCCCGGTAGTTTCACAGCAAAACGTTTTTGCGGGCGGTGTCCCACTTTCGTTCCAAAAATACGTCTATCAATTTCGGAGTCTTTTTGGACCCCGACAACGACATTTCACTGGGAAACGTCGAACACGCTCGATCTCTGCAATTACCCCCTAATACCCCCCGCTCTATTAATTTTCTGCAATTACCCCCTAATAGCCCCCCCTTTTATTAATTTATCATCTCATTACTCTGCAAACTAGCAAGGCGACCCAATTGCTCATTCAATTGGTGAGTACAGATCTTCTACGCCGGGTTTCAATACTCAATGGGTTTCAAGAAGGGGTTGCCCAAATCCCAAGAGAACTGCGGTGTCTATTGGTCTTCTTGCAGAACGCTGATAGCAGCAGGACTCGGAAAATTTGCATATAGCTTTAGGTTTGGATTTGTCGTTCTTCGTTTTGTTTTTTGTCTGAGAAAACTAGGGCGCAGTCAGGGTTTGAGTTTGTAATTGCACTTGAGTTGAGGCAAAAGGGCCGGTAATTATGCTGAATGTATATGACCTACGTTTTGGGTCCGGTGGGGTCGCGTGGGGGGGTGTTGTATTCGCGGGATTGCCTGAAGTGCAATTACAAACTGTTTTCGTGACTGCGCCGAAGTTACCCCTTTTTGTTTTTTTAACTTTACATTTTGAGAATGTTTCTCAAAAAGATCAAAATGTGACACACGACGCCTCCGTTTGTCTGTTCTCCACCAAGCAGTCCACGCTTGTGGGCACATTGATTTCCAGATCTCGTCACCTGGTGTTTTGGCTCTTTGTGTGAAAGGTTGATGATCTTTGTGTGATTCTGTGCGCTGGTCTTTGAGGCAGCATTTCTTTGCTTGCTAGATTCCGCAAGACAGATCATGTTTTCCGTTGCCGACTGACTCAACAGTGCATTATCAATTATACTACAAGTGAACACCAGCCTTTTGTGTAAATTTTGACTGAATGTAGATCTAATGAGGCTGTTGACGACGTATTGATCCATTATACTACAAGTGATTGTGAGCATGGTCACCTGGACTCTTTAGCTGCCGGCGGGTAGTCATCGTTGCAGGATTGTGTTTGCTCTTTTCTTCTCCATGGGAGGAGAGACCCAATAGCCCATCTGATCCGAGTAGGACTCAAAAAGTTAATTATGATCTCTGTACTAACAGTTGCATTGTGTGACACTGTACCATTCAGCCACATGGAGTGGAAGCATGGTGATGGTTCAAATTGACATTTTTTGAAAAGAAACAAGTCCGGCAGTGTAACACTTTCAGTTTCGAAAGGGAAAAATGCCGCAAAAAGAACATGTGCGGGCAACAAAGTCGGGTGCGGAATTTGACAAGGGTGATATCGGAAAAAATGGCTGTGGACCGCGCGTGATTTTCTTGCCCTTTTCAAACTCGGTGCGCTAGTTTGTTGCCCTTTTCAAACTCGGCATGCTAGTTTGTTGCCCTTTTCAAACTCGGCGCTCGGGTGAAAATG